TGAAGGCTCTAGTTGCGAAGGCGTTGGAGGAGCAAGGACTGTCTATGGAGCCACGGATATTAATGATGCCGCTGGGAGAACTGGTATTAGTTGGCAGCCCTCCGAAAGTTTCTAGCAGCCAAGGTTCCACTGTAGCCACAACCCCCGTCGATCGCATACGGGAACCAACTAGTTGCACCTTGGAGTTTCTCAGCGGTCGGTAGAACACTGTGATGGAGGTGGCAACGGGTGTGGCACATCCTCTCGGTGGCTTACACCACAATAATAAGATACTGTCGGACTACACTAGGGTCGAGGTGTATACCGTGACTCCCGAGGGGCTGGTGTTACTCGAAGACGTTATGGGGTAGTTCATCCTCTAGCACAAACGGGACATTATATTGACTACTTCTTCGCCGCATCCCCCTCTCCCAAATTTGGAGCGAGTTGTTGAGGTCGGGGAGATATTTTCACCGTCTCGTGACCACCACATTCCTAAGATGCCACATTCTTCCCCGCCTCCTAGCGAGCATGTGCCTGATAAGATGCCACAACCTTCTCTAGCTCGTATCGAGCAAGTGCATGATGAGATATCACAGTCTTCTCAACAAGCATAGCCGATACATGAACAACGAGTGCCTCCTGAAGAAGGTGATGCACAAGAAGATGAGGACATGGCTGAATGGGAACTTTGAAAGAAGCATCCAATCACCATAAGGCTAGTTTATGTTTTAATGAAAGACGTCTCGTCGGTGTCCAAGTGGTATTCCCATGACCAGTTCAAGCCTGAGAACCAGTTAAAAAAAGTCCCATCATGGGGTTCTGAGGAAGCCGTCACTAGCAAACTCCACCAAATTGCAAAGCAGTATCCAAATGTTGATGCCATCAAATGGTCAAAGGATTGCCCGAAAACATATAAAAGAGGCAAGCCCTTCCTACCAAACTGGGACATCCAGCGCCTACCACTTGGAATGAGAAGGTTCCATGATTGGTACTTGCGTGTTCTCCCAACGAGCATAGACCTCATACAAGTATGCTTCCCCACCGGCACATTTGGAAGCCCAGCCGGAAAAATTGTCTTTAACTTCAATGACATGCAGACATGCTTTCACCTGAGAGCAATGGAGATGAATCTTATTCGCACGTGGTGCCTGTAAGTCCTTGTCCTTCCAATATGATATGAATGTAATCTTTGAATTTTGTTGTAACTAACCCACGCCGTAATTTGTAGAATGCAAGTGCACATTGTCAAACAAATGCCAAGTGTGAAAGCAGGGTATATAGACCCTCAAGCTATAGCCCAAACAAATTTTAATTACCCTAAACAGTGAAAACTGGATGCCAAAGAGCTAGCAGCTGCAAAGACTCTTCGGGAGAAAGAGCACATCCGTACGGCGAAACTAAGGGAAGAGTCCCTTAAGGTTGCGTCATACATTGCCCTGGCTTTCAAAATTCTCCAACAGCACTCTACTATATGGCTACCATACAACTTCAAGTAAGTTCAACTCTATACTTAAAGCTTTGTTCGATATATTTTATTTGATGCAAAGGAGCTTATCTAGTTCTATGATTAAATCCATGCAGCAACCACTGAATTTGTATAGCCGTCGATGTCGGGAGGAGCATGGCATGGGTCTTTGATTCAATAGATAGGGACCCGGTGACATACAAAGACTTCATATCGATTCTCAAGACGTATACATATCGACAATTCTCATTAGCTTATATGTTTGTATATATACTTGTAACGTTCACTTTTGGATACTAACAAGTTGTATTTACTAAAATAATTCGAACAGGGCATTTAGGTTCTATGTCACTAAACATCACGGAAGGCATGATCCAGCAAGAAAGGAAAAGCTGGCTATAAAAACACTATGTGCGGTAAGTGTAACTTACTTCTTCAGTACTCCATTACATGGTTGTCAAAAGCATTACTTAACATTTTCATATGCAAAACACACAGTGCCCCAAGCAAAAGCCTGGGAGTGTACATTGTGGATACTATATATGTTCTATGATGAGTAACACCGGTGCCTACAGGAGACACCTCTTCACCCGTAGTATAAAAACTTCGTACATGGTATGAAATACTAAACCGAAACTTGTTCTCTTGTAGTGGAAAGAAGAGAAAGAAATGAAAAGAGACCCATACAAGGATGACCAACTCTTAGAGCTCGTCGGCGACCTTTGCAACTTCATATTGGACGAGATTGTACACATCAAAAGCGCCTACCATGACCGAAAGTCTGACTTAGGTAGAAATCCTCAGTACCAACACCTTCATGAGACTGAAAGGCTAGCTCTAGGACGTTGATAACAATGTGTATTGAATTTGACATTGGTTTTACCTTGTGAATTATGTCTATTTAATGATGGATTGTATATATTCTTATGAATTGAATTTGTAATTGTAGTTTATATAATACTCTTGTGCTTATAGTCTAAGGGGTTCAGAACGCTGGTCGCGGGGCGTTCGGCAACGCGAACTTCGGCAACGCGAACGCGGTTCGGAACGTTGGTCGCGGGGCGTTCGGCAACGCGAACGCGGTTCGGAACGTTGGTCACGGGGCGTTCGGCAACGCGAACGCTGGATGGAATACGCGGAAACAAACAGTGTTCTGGTCGAATTTGAATTGTAAATTTGAATTTTTTTACGGGAAAACGTACTGTAGGGGCAGTTCTAGACTGAACCGCCCCTACAAACAGGTATTATAGGGGCGGCTGGTACTACAGCCGCCCCTACAAATTGATTTGTAGGGGCGGCTGTAGTACCAGCCGCCCCTACAAATCTATTTGTAGGGGCGGTCTAAGAACCGCCTCTACAAATACATGATTTATAGAGACGGTTTGGTAGGGGCGGCTGCCAAACCGCCCCTACAAAGGGTTACGAGCCGTCCCTAAAAACGTTTCTGTAGTAGTAGTAGATTAAGGTTAAGTTATCAGATCTATCTAAGGGTGACGTTCCTTTGGATAGATTCATTAAATCACCGATATTGCTTATTGCTTCCATTATTCATCTAATTATAGCAATATCATTTCACCCGATTGAGATTGATCTGGATCGACCTTATATCTTGTTTAGCCAATCGTTTGTTAGCCTGAAACTGATCTAATCTACATTTTAAACGATGAGTTATGTTTTATCGGTGGTTTTATGTCAATCTTAATCGTGCATAGCGTGCGGTTAAGGCATGTTGCATCTTGAGTATATCTATTGGCTAGCGAAAACCTTTCCATGGCCTGTTATCACGGTCTGTGTGATTCTGCCTCATATCCCACTGTTAGCACCGTGGAGTGGGGATCGTTACTTAGTAGGTCTGTTCCTGATAAGGTATGACCTTAACTGTGCGTTATGCCTGAATCGGCTGTTTTAGCCGATATCGAGCGCTTTCACGAACGGTTCGCATTACGAGACTGTTGAAGTAGAGATAGGTTGAAAGATGTGTTAGTCTTATGATCTTATTATTGTATTACGGCCTGCATGATTCTGCCTCATACCCCACTGATATTAGTAATAAGTTAGGGTCGTCGAGTCTATTGTTGTTTCTACGACCTGCATGATTCTGCCTCATACCCCACTGGTCATAGCGATAGATGAGATCTAATATGTTTATTAGATTTATCTTTATCAAATAGTTAAATGGTGTTGAGCTATTTCTTTTATTTAAAGGGATTCGGTTACTTGTATTCATTGGCTTAGCATAAACCAATCATTGTTGACATCTTATTGCCATTGACTAATATTTATTCAAATAATGATATTCGTCCGGAATGATAACGGATTCTTGTTACACAACCCCATGAGCTTTAACTGATTTATTCTTATGAATACGCTGGAATCGACTATTTAGTCGATCGGCTCTCAGAGCCGCACATTCGGGACTGTCTGGCAACACCGGCATGTTCCGCCCTTAATTACTGATAAACTTTCTCTCATTGTCAATTGCAGGGTCAAATTGACTGACACGTCTCGGGAGGAGTACGCAGGATCGACCACCCCTACGTTGAAGCTAGCCGGATCTACAGCTCCATCGAGCAGACCCTTCTGGCTTGCTACGTGTGTCTCCGGCACGGGACGAAAATTCGTGCCGACACCCATTATATACTGAGAAGGAATTTATACATGGAATTAATAGAGAAGATACCATTCTTGTGCAGGTGCCAAACAAACACGCCAGGTTCTTGTTGCAGATTTACATGGAATTAATAGTTTTGGAGTAGAATCACGAACTGAGCATAGCTAGCCCAGTGGGCCGAGTTTCTTTTGTTGGAATATATCTACTCCGATTTAAGATTCACGAGTGCTCGCATTTGTCTTTGCCACACACCCTAAAATGTCAAAAATGCATTGTGTAAATAAATCCTTGTATGGGCGAAGGGAGTGACAATGCAAGCCGAAGGCTATAATCTGTAACAGAGAGGAGATATAGGACCCTCCAAAAGAGCCTTCCCATAGCCACTTTGCTGATTGCAGCATCATTTTCAGATAGGAAATTGATCGATCCGATGATGTTTTGGATTGCATGTCACGGAGGCATATATACAAAACATTGTTTCTGCCCTCGGCGTCGTGCCCGTGGGATCGGGACAACCTGACAAGTTTACAACACGCAGGGTAGCCTGCCAAGACTATATATATAGGCAACTAGAGCCCCGGCTACACCGGGCGACGCACGCGCGCTCACTTTCAGCAGACCACGCCTCTTGGTGGACATGGACAGGCGTGTTCTGCAGCTTCCCCTGCTCCTCTGCCTGTGCGTCGTCGCCACGCTCCGTGCCTGCTCCGCCGCGTCGATCACCATGGGCACCCCCGACGGCTCGGAGCTGTGGGGGTACGTCGATCACCACGGGCACCCCCGACGGCATCATGAACGGGGTCATCAAGGAGAAGCCCAAGATCATCCCCAAGGACCTCAAGTGAGCGTCGCTTTCGCACCACGACGGTCACGTCGGTCACTGGAGTATGTATGTTTTAGTAGCTGTCAGTGTTACCATGCTACGACTGCAATTGTATGCAGGTGGGTGGAGGTCTCCAATGCCGTCTACTTTGCGCTGGTCAAGGATTTCATGAAGCCAAGAATCGATGAGGCGAGCGAGCTCCCACGGCTCTTCTCTATATGAATTCAGTTGAAAGGGATAGTGGAGTTTGGTTAACTCTGTTCCCTTTCTTTTTTTGTTCATTTTGCAGATTGATGAGCTGCTGTCCTATGGTGTGAATGTCACGGTGTACAATGGGCAGGTCAGTAGTGCTCTGCCATTTTTGCTATCTCCAGCAAATCAAAACTACTATTTTTTTTTGTGTGTGTGTCTGGTCATGCATGATGTTGACTTTCTTCCGTTAGTGCTGTTACACTGCTATGCTGGCAGAATAGTGGACCAGCATGTTGAGATCAATGGATAGGTTGAAATGTTAGTGCCTTAGTGCTTGAGTGATGATCCAGACACCGAAAAGGAACTGATACTGTTTCTGTTTCTTCCACGCAACTCGTAGTCGTCGTAGCACATGGAGCATTCAGGTTCACCAATTCATCCTGCAATTGATACATCCTGTGTAAGCAACCGAGTATAGTACATTTTAAAAATAAGGGCCTTACAATTCGTCAGTGGGAGAGCAGGATAGCGTGACGCCGCCAAGTTCGTGTTCAGTTCAGACTTCAGAAAAGATGGCATCGTTTCTGGATGCATACCAAGAAAATGTGCCTTTCATTGTCAATCGTCATGGGAAGTTAGGAACGGACAACCACTCCCTGGCCCGTGCCAGGAAAAACACACAAGAACAGAGTGTGAGTGTTCCATCTTCCATGCACGGATCTGCCTTTTCCCCAGGAGCTGTGAGTGACACGAAACCTTCAGGCGCCACAAGGCATTTTTCTCAACCACCACCATATCACATGGTGGCTCATGGCTCACATGGTCAACTAATTGGGAGACAGACGCTCCTCCCTTAACCAAACACTTGGATAATCCATTCATATCGTACAATATTCCCAGCTGAAAATATGCTTATGAGTAAACAAGTCTGCAGTTTTCAGTACTGATGAATGTGATACGTGTTTTCGCCTTCCTGAAGCTCGACGTAATCTGCTCTACTGACGGGCGCAGAAGCATGGGTTCAGAAGCTCAAGTACGCCTTCCTGTTTTTCTATCTCTTGCCCCCACATTATAACAGGGTTCAGAAAACATATATATCTCAATGACTGAACTGAATGTTTACTGGCTCCTGGGGGATGAACTGATACTGATTTCAGATGGGATGGGCTGAAGACCTTCCTGAGCCTGCCGAGGCAGTCTCTGTACTGCGGCACCAGCAAAGGAACCAAGGCTTTCGTGAGGTCCTACAAGAACCTGCGCTTCTACTGGGTTCTTGGAGCTGGCCACTTTGTAAGTCCTGCGTAAAGATGTGCATGCAGCCCGTGGGCCAAAGGCCCGGCCCAAAGCACGGTTATTGGGCCTGACCCGAGCACGGCACGGCCCGAACCCTAACCGGGCCCGTGCCGGCCCGAAGCCCGTAGCAGGCCGGGCTTGGGCTGAGGCCTCGGCCCGCCGGGCGGCACGGCACGGCCCGTTTTACAACGGCCGGCCCGGTGGAGGCCCGTTTTAATTTATTGAGCTGGCCGTACTATTTTCCTTTCTAGGGTTTTATCTCACGAGGTGTGAGTTTTACCTAGAATGGTTTTTAATGAGGCGGCATTGCATAAAAAGCTCAAATATTTTGTCATCTGGTGTTTCTGTGATTGTTAAATATGAATATGTGAACCTGTGATTGTGCTGTTAAATATGGTGTTTACTGTGTAACGGGCTATGGGCTGGCCCGATGGACCAGTGGGCCGCGGGCTCAACGGGCTGGCACGGCCCGATATTCGGCCCACGGACCGTGCCTGGGCCGTCCGACAGGCACGGTGGACTGTTCAGGCACGGCCCGGTGGCCCGGCGGGCCAAAAGGGCCCGAGCCCGATCGGGCCGTGCCGTGCCGTGCCGGCCCGTTGCTCATCTTTAGTCCTGCGGCGTCTCACATTCACCTAGGATCTGCTTCCCATCCCATGTGAGGGTCTTAAATCGGGATGCCCCCGAATGAAGCTGACTTAGCTTGTTTCCTCATGTGATCTCTTCTTTGGCTGCAGGTGCCTGCCGACCAGCCTTTGTATCGCGCTGAGCATGATCGGCAGCATCACCCAGTCTCCGGCCAGTTAGTGGATTTTATGTGATACGCAAAGATCAAGTGAAGAAACGTCAACTGGAAGCAGCTAGCACACGGGCACGGGCGATGCAGGACTCGAGTACAGTGAAGGTCGCATACTTGAAAGGCAATCATTCAGTTGATGATACCTGTGATTTGTTTACAATTTTCTATACTGTGAAAAATAGAGCGCTGGTGCAATAGGAAAAGTGGAAAAGTTTTTTTTAATGATTTTTGTGGTGGGTCGATTGATTTATGTTGCGTTTCGTAGGAAAAAAAACAGCTAATTTACCCTATCACTTCCAGAGGCTGTAAAGTTGCGAAAATTCCATATTTACCATAAACATCCGACCGTCGATTCAGAAGATTTTTGTCCCTATTCAATTAAAAAACACTGAATGCATTAGGGACTATGAGGCCCATGGAGTGAGCAAGCTACTAATGAGCTAAATCTAATTGTAGGCTAGTTTCTTATAGGCCAAGCTCATGGGAGAAGTAGCAATTTAGACTGCCAGATTGCAGGCCCAATTTGTTTTAGGTTGGTTAAGCCCAGTTGAAGCCCAAATATTTTAGGTTAAGTCCATTTGTAGGCTCAGGTTGTTTTGGATGTGTGCCTTTTTGTAATTCACTTAAACTAAATATTAGGTTCCAAGGACTTGCCATTCTCATACATTAAGATCCCTCTGAGAGCATCTGCCACTGTTGAAGTCCCTGTTACAGTCCATGTTTCACGTATGCGTTCATTGACTACACGTTCGCTCTACAGGCATGGGAGCTCTAGAAGGAATTAAAGGGGAGGTGCTCCCACGATACTTCAACAACAATCCAGCAAATCCTTGCTTCGACCAAGCACGTAGTGGACCAGTGGATTGACAGCCGAAGCATCTAGGGCTGAGCTTACTGTAAAATACTAAAACCTCACTAGCTAATCCTGGTTCGTGGCACGTCGGTGTTATTCTACTTTCGATATTAATAAAAAGATGCACAAACATTTTGTGTATTCGAGAAAAACTTTTTGCCTTAGTCTGTCCGCCTCTCAACTTCTAGCATAAGTGTTCTAGCTAGTTTTACTAAGAGTAGCAGTAGGTGACAAATTATAAATAAGAAATCTGATTGGTTTACTACCTGATCCAAACACACGACCATTGCTCGTACGAGCTAGGATAAAACACGCTAGCCACGGTACAATGTCCGATTGCAAAATATATTAATGCAAATGACACATGCTATATGTTTCATTGCAATGTCTGGGCATCTTCGCTAGCAACGTACTCCCTCTGCCGGTTACAATATATGCGACACACCTAGTGTTCGGATGTCCGACGCGAGCATGTGTCCGGACGCACCTCAAGGCCGTCTGATTGGAGTAAATATAAATTTAATGTAACTACTTTTGTTACTTTTTATATAATTAAGCTAATTATTAGTCAAAGATAATAAAATTTAAATACTGAAATACGTACATGCCTTAGGATAAAAGGAGTAATAAAGAAGTTAAAAGAAGAGAATAATAACCTCCACCTGCATCCTGCCTTTGTCCGTTGTATTCTTGTGCATATCATGTAAGACAGGTGACACATAAAAGGGCAAGAATACATCGGTTGTCGACGTATGTAAGAACAAATCTATACTCTATCATCATCGTCATCATCTCATCTCACACTATAAAAGAACAAGTTTTTTTGAGGGGGTTCTCCCTCTATAATAACCGGTCGATCTAGACATCGTGCTATATGAGCCCTTCGTCGTCCGTGATCTTACATGTAAGATGTAAGACTCCTCGTCAACCAAGATTCCTCCTAGACCTCGAAAAAGAAAAATAATAAAAATCTGAACACAAGTCATACGAGTCAAATTATCATGTTCCAAGACGTCGTGCTATATGAGCCCTCCGTCGTCCATAATCTTACATATAAGATGTAAGACTTCTCCTTAACCAAGGCTCCTCCTGAACCTTGAAAAGGGAAAATAATAAAAATCTAAACACAAGTTATACAAGCCAAATTATCATGTTCCAGAACTCCGACGTCCATACGAGCTAGAAAGGACTCTAACGCCGGTACGCAGCCGATCATCAATTCTATATATCTGCCTTCGTGTATCGAACGTCGCTCCTCTTCTACCCCTATACCCCCTAATTAAACCCTAGCACTGCTGCAAGCCGAGTAATCAAAATCATCGTCGTCGTCGTGTCGGCGTAGTTGTGCATGGTGATTGATGCCTCGGCATGGAACTGACGCCGCACCATGCACAAACCATTGTCAACTCGTCGACTTGTTTGCTTGTTGTCTCCTGGTTGCATGTACGTACGTGTAGTCAGGTAGATGCCTCCATAATAAACTTCTCGCTGATTACGCGTGGCTTCCTTTGCGTGATTGTGATCACGCATGTTATGCATGCTGATCGGTGATCTCCGACTCAGTCCACGTGCACAGACACCATATCAAATCGTTCCAGCGTGTATCGGATCCGTATCGAGCTTCCTTGAGATTCATTGAAGCAGGATGCAAAGAGATTCCATCGCCTCGATGTGTATGATCCGTTGCCTGACTTCCCGGATTGATCTCAGACTCGGCTCTGATGCAGGGTTCGGCGACTAGATTGGTGGCAGGCATGCGGGGGGAATTGATGTGATCCCGATCGGGACCGAACAGGAGACAGCACGCCATAAGCTTCCCCTCGCAACTCAAAGGCAGTAATCAGCGATGCCAGATGAGAAGGAAGGATTGGATTTAATTGGTTGTCTGGTTGAGCAGCAAGAGAAATTGAACATGGGCTGGGGATGTAGATGTACCAAACAGCTTTACATTGACTTGGTGTTAAAAAAAATTAGGCGACATTGGTTTGGTTTGAGGTTTGATTTTTTTTACTCATTAGAATTTGGATAATAAATGTTGCAATTGCCTTAGTGAATTGTTCTGATCAGTTAATTTTATGCTAACTTTATAAGTTTGAAACCATGCATGATTTGCAACTAAAAATCAAAACCTGGAGAAGAAACATCACGGGCCTTCCAGCTGCATTGGAGCAATGTGGTTGAGACAGTTGCAATATTGGAGAAACATGCTCCAAATATTTCCATACAAGCAATAAACTAATTTACCTTTTCTGTAGGTTTGCCTTCTCATATGGTGTGAGATGTAGTTTCATCTATCTTCTCATCAGTTAGTTCAAATTGACAACTCTTTGTATGTTATTGTGCTTTCCATGTCTTTCAGGCTTCCGAAATATTAAAAAACGATGGGAATAATCTTTTTCATCAGTTAGCATTGATACCTTTGTCTCACGGTCCATCTAAAAAAAACTCGGCCTGCGGTGGGCAGACAGCCCCGCAACTTTGTGCTTAAAGAAGAAGACCTTCTCACGCAGGCCGAGAAAACCTCCGAACCCCGTGCCCCGCCCTTACACAGGGGCCCAGTACCCTGTGAGTGAGCCGGTCCATTTACCTGTGCTTTGGGAAACTCAGGACAGGCGAGGGGATTTTTTTAACTCCGACAGGCGAACGAGCGCACTCGTGGGGGTTCGAACCCTGCACGCGAGAGTGCCGATCGGACATCCTGACCATCTGGTCCGAGGAGCCGTTGGCTCTCACGGTCCGTCTAAAATGCGAGGTATTTAGAATCTGTCATTTTTTCCTGTGAGATACAGAACATGCGTGTACCAATGAGTTTTATCTCACTTCAATATAAATAGTTTTAATGTAATAATTAGACATAGAATTTTATTACCTATCACTCATATTATGGAATGTTTTTACCTTATCAATACTTTTTCCAACACCCGTTTGGATAAGAGTATGTATTATCTTACTATAGACACGTGTGTGCCGCACGTGTATGTCCATTAGTACTATAAAAGAGCGAAGGAATTGTAAAATACCTGTCACCCAAACATGTGTGAGGTCCTGCGCGGCTCCCGCGTGTGTGAGTTCCTTTTCGTGACCTTTCTTTTCGTTTTCGTTTTCGTGGCCCGATTTCCTTTTCGTTTGATTGCAAGTTCTGTCAATATGATTGCCAGAGGACGTACTCGGACGACGGCACGACGATGCGGAATGACAGCGACAGCCAACAACAGCAAGATCTGCAGCAGCCATGGACAGGGAACGACGTCATCTCTGAAGCCGTCGTCGTTGATCCCGCCGTCGCAGGACTTACAGGAAGAAGTTTTGAGGCCGCCGCCATGGATCATTTGAAGCCTGTGGTTGGAATGATATTTGATACACTTACAGATGTGGAGAAATTTTACAAATCGTATACACATGAAGCTGGTTTTTCTGTTCGTATTGGTCAGCACAAGAAGCAAAATGATAAAATATTATTCAAGCGGTATTATTGTTCAAGAGAAGGATACAGAAAGGAGAACGTAAAAAATGTTATTAACGAATCCGGAAAAAAGAGAAAGACACATAATATGATGGAAAACAGATGTGGTTGTGAGGCACATATTGTTGTCAAGCTTGGCAATGACAAGAAGTATCGGATAGCTTCAATGGTCGAGGAGCACAGCCATGGTTTTGTGTCACCAGATAAGAGGCATTTGCTAAGATCCAACCGTAATGTTAGTGGGAGGGCAAAGAGTACCTTGTTCAGTTGTCATAAGGCTAGCATTGGCACCTCACAGGCATATATACTTCTCCATGTCAGTGAGGGTGGGTTTCAGAATGTTGGGTGCACGCTGAGGGATTTGCAAAACTATTACCGTGACCTCAGGAGCAAAATCAAGGATGCAGATGCACAAATGTTTGTGGCACAACTTGAGCGAAAGAAGGAAGTAAATCCTACCTTCTTTTATGACTTTATGGTGGATGAACAAGGATGACTTGTTCGTGTGTTTTGGGCAAATGCCTTATGCAGGAAAAACTATAATGTTTTTGGTGATGTGGTTTCGGTAGATTCAACATACACCACTAACCAGTATAACATAATTTTTGTGCCATTTACTGGAGTCAATCATCACTTGCAAAGTGTTTTCCTTGGGGCAGCATTCTTGGCAAATGAAAAGATCAAGTCATATGAATGGTTGTTTAACACCTTTCTTAATGCTATGCGTGGAGTAGCACCTCATCTAATCATAACAGATGAAGATGCGAGCATGAAGGCTGCTATTGCTCATATTCTATCGGATACAACTCACATACTTTACATGTGGCATATCATGGAAAAGGTTCCTGAGAAGATCAGGCCCTCTATAAGAGAGAATGAACAGTTCTGGGATAGACTACACACATGTGTTTGGGGCTCCGAGACTGCAGATGATTTTGAGTCACAATGGAATTCTGTCATAACAAATTTTGCACTCATGGAAATGATTGGTTTTCCACAAAGTTTGCCATGCGTCAATCATGGATTCCGGCATACTTTATGGACATACCTCTAGCAGGAATCCTTAGGACTACATCACGATCGGAGAGTGCAAATTCTTTTTTTAACCGTTTCATTCATCGAAAATTGACCTTTGTTGAGTTCTGGCTAAGGTTTGACACAACTTTGGAGTGCCAACGCCAAGAGGAGTTGAAAGCCGATAATGCAAGTCTTCACACCACTCCTAAATTGATGACACCATGGGTCATGGAGAAGCAATGTAATGTGATATATACACATGAAGTCTTCAGTAAATTTTAGGAATAAATCGTAGCTGCAAGAGACCATTGCATTATTCAAGGCATTTAGAGTGTGAAGATATAAAAATTGTCACCATCAGCAGTATCTCTAGAAAAGAGCAAGTGGTTTAGTTGAACAAGTCAGACATGTTTGGTAGGTGTTCCTGTAAATTTTATGAGTCCTATGGCATCCCGTGCCGTCATATCGTACAAGTGCTTAGAGCTGAGAAGCAAAGTGAGATACCATCTATTTATATTATGAAGAGATGGGAGA